AGAACGTTATCTCTAAAGCAGCAGAAAGCCTTCATGGAGGAAACAGCCACAAGAACTGGAATTTAATATCTATATATCCGGACTAATATCAGACTGTAGATGAGTTGATACTTATACCTACTGTAATACCTAGGAACATTATTCTGCAATGTACTGAATTTTTCTAGAACTGCTTTTTCTGGAGTAACTTTAGTCATTGTTTTTTTTTTCTTTCTCCTGCTTAACAGTGTATCAATCTCCACCTTATTTTCTTATTGATTATTCCATTGACATACTTGAAGTAAGCTAAAGAATTCATCTAAGCTTTTTCAATTCTTTTTTTTTTTTTTGAGACGGAGTTCTTGCTCTGTCGCCCAGGCTGGAGTGCAGTGGCGTGATCTCGGCTCACTGCAAGCTCCGCCTCCGGGTTCACACCATTCTCCTACCTCAGCCTCCCGCCGAGTAGCTGGGGACTACAGGCACCCACACCACACCCTGCTATTTTTTTTGTATTTTTAGTAGAGACGGCGGTTTCACGGTGTTAGCCAGGATGGTCTCGATTCTCCTGACCTCGTGATCGCCCGCCTCGGCCTCCCAAAGTGCTGGGATTACAGGCGTGAGCCACTGCGCCTGCCTCAAATTCTTTTTTTTTTTTTTTTTTTTAGAGACAGGGTCTCACTTGTCACCCAGGCTGAAGGTGCAGTGGTCCAATCCCGGTTCACTGCAGTTTTGACCCCCCGGGTTCAAGCGATTCTCCCACCTCAGCCTCTAAGTAGCTGGGACCACAGGCACATGCCACCAACCCTGGCTAATTTTTGTATATTTTTTTGTAGACATATGGTTTTCACCTTGTTGCCCAGGGCTGGTCTGTAACTCCTGGGCTCAAGGGATTTGGCCTGCCTTGGCCTCCCAAAGTACTAGGATTACAAGGCATGAACCACTGCGCCCAGCCAGTTTTCACATTCTTTTTCTTTCTTTTTTTTGAGACAGAGTCTGGCTCTGTCGCCCAGGCTGGAGTGCAGTGGCACGATCTCGGCTCCAGTGCAAACCTCTGCCCCCAGGTTCAAGCGATTTCCTGCCTCAGCCTCTTGAGTAGCCGGGACTACAGGGCATCTGCCACCACGCCCAGCTAATTTTTGTATTTTTTAGTAGAGAAGGGTTTTCGCCATATTGGCAGGATGGTTTGATCCTCCGACCTCATGATTCACCCGCCTGGGCCTGCCCAAAGTGCTGGGATTACAGCATGAGCCACCGCAACCCAGCCCAGTTTTTTAGAGTTTTTTTTTTTTTTTGAGATGGAGTCTCACTTTGTCACCCAGGCTGGAGTGCAGTGGCACGATCTTGGCTCACTGCAAGCTCTGCCTCCCGGGTTCACACCATTCTCCCGCCTCAGCCTCCCGAGGAGCTGGGACTACAGGCGCCGCCACCACGCCCGGCTAACTTTTTGTATTTTTAGTAGAGACGGGGTTTCACCGTGTTAGCCTGGATGGTCTCGATCTCCTGACCTCATGATTCACCTGCCTCGGCCTCCCAAAGTGCTGGGATTATAGGCGTGAGCCACCGCGCCCAGCCCAGTTTTTCAGATTTTTTTTTTTGAGATGGAGTCTCACTTTGTAACCCAGGCAGGTGTGCAGTGGCACGATCTTGGCTCACTGCAAGCTCTGCCTCCCTGTTAGCCAGGATGGTCTTGATCTCCTGACCTCGTGATCTGCCCGCCTCGGCCTCCCAAAGTGCTGGGATTATAGGCGTGAGCCACCACGCCCGGCCCAGTTTTTCAGATTCTTATTGCAGAAGTTAAAAAGGGAAGAAAAGGAAGTTTTTCGAATTCTTAAAAGCAGAAACCTTTTTCTCAAAGGAAATCGTGGGTGTGTCCCCAACACAGAAAACACAGTGGCTCTGCCCCGGCTGAAACTGGCTCAGGAACCCGGGGCCCGGACCTCTTAGTCTTGAGGCGCCTCCACAGAATAATCTGAAAATCACTGCCCACTCCCATCCAATGTTTTACTTACAATCAACCTGCCGGTTTGAGCGCCTGTGTTGACAGACATTATAATATATGCAAAAGTAAGTCATACATACACATAAGTGAATTAAGTTATTATGGACTATGGGTCAACTGTACTGAGATCAAAAGACCCAAATTTGCTTAGTTCTACTATTTATTGCCCATCTTTCAGACTTTTTTGAGTCTTATTTCCCATACTTAAAAAGATGTAAATAAAGCATCAGAAAAACTCAGAATAAGGGATATTCTCTGACATAACTGGCCAGTAATCACCAAAAATGCCAACGTCATGAAAGAGAAGAAAAACTTGAGGAAATTCTAGCAGATTGAAGACTACTAATTTGAAAGAGTCATGACAACCGAATGCCACCCGGACCTGAAATTTTGTTTTTCTATTGGAACAATTGTCAAAATTTGAATAATAAATGTAAATTCGCTAATAATGTTATATTAATGTTAATTCCTGATTTTGAAAATTACGTGGCGGTTATGTAAAAGATTGTATTTGTTATTAGAAAACACACATTGGCTCTCCGCTCCTCCTGTCTGACAGACAGCCACATCTTCTCTCGCATCGCCAGCCGCATCCCTGAGACACACGGAAGGTGAAGGTTGGGGTCGATGGATTTGGTCGTGCTGGGTGCCTGGTCATCAGGGCTGCTTTTAACTCTGGTAAAGTGGATATTGTCACCATCAATGACCCCTTCATTGCCCTCAACTGCACGGTCTACATGTTCCAGTATGAGTCCACCCACGGCAAATTCCATGGCACCATCAAGGCTGAGAACGGGAAGCTTGTCATCAATAGAAATCCCATCACCATCTTCCAGGAGCGAGGTCCCTCCAAAATCAAGTGGGGCGATGCTGGCACTGAGTACATCGTGGAGTCCACTGCCATCTTCACCACCATAGAGAAGGCCGGGGCTCACATGCAGTGGGGAGCCAAAAGGGGCATCATCTCTGCCTCCTCTGCTGACGCCCCCATGTTCGTGATGGGCGTGAACCATGAGAAATATGACAATAGCCTCAAGATTGTCAGCAATGCCTCCTGCACCACCAGCTGCTTAGCGCCCCAAGTTCATCCGTGACAACTTTGGTATCGTGGAAGGACTCACGACCACAGTCCACGCCATCACTGCCACCCAGAAGACTGTGGATGGCCCCTCCGGGAAACTGTGGCGTGATGGCCACAGGGCTCTCCAGAATGTCATCCCTGCCTCTACTGGTGCTGCCAAGGCTGTGGGCAAGGCTGAACTGAACGGGAAGCTCACTGGCATGGCCTTCTGTGTCCCCACTGCCAACATGTCAGTGGTGGACCTGACCTGCCGTCTGGAAAAACCGCCAAATATGATGACATCAAGAAGGTGGTGAAGCAGGCGTCGGAGGGCCCCCTCAAGGGCATCCTGGGCTACACTGAGCACCAGGTGGTCTCCTCCGACTTCAACAGCGACACCCACTCTTTCACCTTCAATGCTGGGGCTGGCACAGACCTCAGCAATCACTTTGTCAAGCTCATTTCCTGGTATGACAACGAATTTGGCTACAGCAACAGGGTGGTGGACCTCATGGCCCACATGACCTCCAAGGAGTAAGACCCCTGGACCACCAGCCCCAGCGAGAGTACAAGAGGAAGAGAGAGGCCCTCACTGCTGGGAGTCCCTGCCACACTCAGTCCCCCACCACACTGAATCTCCCCTCCTCACAGTTTCCATGCAGACCCCTTGAAGAGGGAGGGGCCTGAGGAGCCTCACCTTGTCGTCTACCATCAGTAAAGTCCCTGTGCTCAGCCAAAAATAAAAAATAAAATACACATCATGGTGAAAAGGAATTTGAAGAGAAAAAAATGAAAACACCATTGGCATATTTAGGAGTAAAGGGCTGCAACTTTCACACAGTTCAGAAAAGAAAACATTTGAGAGAGAGAGAAAGCAAATATGGTAAAAGGTTAACAACTGGAAGATCTGAGTGTAGGGTGTATAGAAATTATTTGCACGACTGCAACTCTTTTTCTTTTCTTTTGTTTTTTAGAGACCAGAGTCTCACTAGGTTGTGTAGGCTGGTCTCATACCCCTGGGCTGAAGCAATGCTCCCACCTCAGCCTCCACAGTAGCTGGGACTGCAGGCATACACATTGCACTGGGCGCAACTTTTCTTAAAGACAAAAATTATGTCAAAATGAAATGCTTTTTAGGTGAAGAGAATATCTGTCTTACCTACTTCATAGAATTTTGGGGAAGATCAAATAAAATCTTGTGAGTGAAAGAGCTTTGAAAACTAAGTTTCCCTACAAATGTAAAACTTAATTACTACTGAAAAGAGCTTTATACTTTAACAAATGTAAAACAATTATTTTTACTGCATTTTTTGTAGCTTCCACAGAGAAAAAATCTAGTTCTGTATCCATTTACTCAGTTACTACTCTTTTAAGAGAAGGGTTGGCTGCTCGGTTTCGTTGCTTTAGGAGGGTCAGTGAGCAACAGTAACTTTATTATCTCATTTATTGCAGAAATCTACAGCCTAAAATATTGTCTCTTGTTCTACATTTACTGCCTGAGTCTAAATGACCTTCAAGTTCCTTCCCAACACTGGAATTTCATGATTTAATGAAAGTAACACAGAAAAGCCACTGGCAGGAGGGCTCATGCATTTTTTCTTTTTTTTTTTCTTTTGAGACAATTGCTGTGTCATCCAGGCTGGAGTGCAGTGACGCGATCTCAGCTCAATGCAACCTCCGCCTCCCAGGTTCAAGTAATTCTCCTGTCTCAGCCTCTAATTTTTGTATTTTTTAGTAGAGACAGGTTTTTGCCATGTTAGCCAGGCTGGTCTCAAATGCCTGACCTCAGGTGATCCTCCTGCCTTGGCCTCCCACAGTGCTGGGATTACAGACGTGAGCCACTGTGCCCAACCAAGACATCATCTCTTAAAAAAAGAAAAAAGAATAAAGAAATGACTAGACGCAGTGACTCACACCTATAATCCCAGCACTGTGGGAGGCCGAGGTGGACGGATCACCTGAGGCCTGGCCAACATGGTGGAATCCCTCCTCCACTAAAAATACAAAAAGTAGCAGGGCATGGTGGTGCATGACTGTAATCCCAGCTACTCAGGAGGCTGAGGTTGCAGTAAGCCAAGATCGTGCCATTGCACTCCAGCCTGGGTGACAGAGCAAGACTCTGTCTCAAAAAAAAAAAAAAAAGAAGAACCTTTTTTTTTTTTTTAACTGGTCAAAAATGTTTGAATCTCAGCAATTTCTTATGGGTGAACCTATAGTTGAGCTAACGTATTGCATAGGCAAATACATTCTTACCTATTTATGCTGGCACTGATATATATGTAGTGTTGGACCCTCCAGGCTGTCTGCTTCCCTTCCGCTTGAATGAGGGCAGTTTGGCCCTTTCACAACTCCGTAACACCTGTACACCAGAAAGTGGGAAAAGCACTACAGCCTAGTTTACTACAGCAGTACTGGTGAAATATTGGGTGGACACTATCGGCTTCATTGTCATCTGGGAAGTATCTGTAGACTTTCATTGTTTGTGAAATATCATTTCTCTTTGTTGCCAAATAAAATCAGGATTTGACCGTATGCAATTGTTCTTGAGACAACAAAGGGAATCAGAGAAAAGAATTTGCATATCAATGGCAGAAAGAAAAATTTAGGCACTATTGTTTAAGTTCCGAAAGAAATCTAGGAGAATCTGGGCTCTATGCCTGGTATCATTTCATTCCTTCTCGTTGACAAATTCCTTATCTACATAAGACTTTCACTGTGCAACTTTCAACTTTAACTGATAAGTCTGACTTATCAATATTTTCTTTTATAGTTGT